CCAACACCTTTTGTCCAACCGAATATACGGGTCTGACATCATCTCCTGCAATGCGCTTTGGTTCCTGATGTCCGTGTGCCGGACAACTTTGGGAGAACAAAGAAGGGGGAGGGCATAGCCCAGGATCTTTGGAAATTGATCATGGGCTAGGCAACGTTGCCCTTCAAAATCGGTCATCTTGGTCATCTTGCCAGATGGTAGCGCGGCAATGTTTCTTGGAAGACGGTGAGAGCAAGGTGATTTCAATAGATGACTGGACTACGCAATGCTTGCGGGGAAAATATGTCAAAAAGGGTGCAATCCATTTTTCGCACCACCCACGTTGATTAAAAGAATTGTGTTGCATATTTTTCTGGAAATGTTGGGCCTGAGCCGGCAAAGAATAACCTCTGCAAGAATCATTGTTATGAGGCTGGAACCTGCATTGCATACAGGAAAAAATACGGTGACATTGGGATGCAAAACCTTGCTGAAAAATCAAATTCGAACAACACCCCAAAAAACACAACAGTTTTCCATGATTTTATGGCTTGGGGGTTCTGCTTGGTTGCCGTTGTTGTGTGCAAAAAAACATATTTTTGGGAAAGGATATTCATGGAAAACTGAAATTGAAGTTCTAAAATGAAAGTTGCATCCGGCAAAAGATTTGGCCTTGGACATGTTGATGAGTTGAAAGTCAGAAATTTCAATCATTGCGTATTTTTCCTTCATCCAACGTTTGAGGTCTTATGTCTTAGGGTCTTCTGTCTTGGATAATACCATACTCCTAACGGTCTTTGGGTCTACAATCAATTCGGTTTTGCCCATTGTTTGGCATAAATGAACTATAGGGGAGGTGGTAACACCATTCAAGATCCATGGTGTCGGAACCCAGGGGGGTCTAACATCATTTTACAGGAATTGCGTTTTTACAATGAAGTTCCCAAAGTCCCTAGACAGTAGTTGTGGGGATTTTATTTACATACGTATTAGTATATATATATATGATATGTATATGTATATATATATATATATGTATATGTATATATATATATATGTGTGTGTGTATCCGTATTTAATAATGTATTTAAACATTTATCATTAATAAGTGTATATTTGTGTCTATACATATGTGTTTATGCACGCATATTTTTTTTTTACATATTGTATGTTATATATATTCTGTTTTCTGTACACATATGTCCAAAAATGTATATATATATATTTGTAGATATTTAAATTGATAAAAGTGTATTTATGTACATATATATATATATCTTTAAATCTTTACATACATGTAGGAAAATTTATTTTTTCTAAACTTTCTTTTTGCATATATATGTGTAAACATATACGTACATATATGTTTCTGTACATGTATGTTTTTATGTCTATAAACGATATGTATGTAAAAAATGTAAATATATACATATGTGTACATGTATCTTTATTTCAATATACATATGTATTTGAAATCATTTATATAGATATGTATTTACAGTAAATATGTATATTTCGATATGTGCTTGTATGTTTATCTATATACATATTTTTGTTTTTTCTCTACACATGTGTGTATGGGTAAACATGTTTGTATTTGTACATATACTGTAGTTTTTTGTTTGTATTTAGTGTAATATGTGCACGTATCATTGTATGTATATGTGTAAATATCAATGTAAACACATATGTTAGGTGTTTTTGTGTATACATATATATGTGAAACATTTTTTGCATATACTTTTTGTGTGTGTACATATAAATACATTTATATTTATAAATATGCTTTTATGTAAAGTCATTGCTGTAGCAGTGTGAACATGTATGTTTAAATTGTTATATGTAACTTAACTTTGTGAATATATCTATATACACACACGTATGTAAATATACATATGTTTGTGTATGTAGGTTTATGTGTGTATATATATATATATGTGAATATATGTTTTTTAATCTTTCTAGAATTGCACAAGTATGTATATATATATATACACGTACACGTGCATGTGTAGATATAAATGTGTATATATATATATAGTTAGTTGTTTATTTTTATTTGTGAAAATATGTCTGTATATTTGTATTTTTAAAACTAGATATATTTATATTCAATATACATATGTATGTATGCACGTACATATTCATATATTTATGTCAAAACACTTTTCAATATATAGACATGGCATATTTGCGTATTGTAACTTATTTCATTTATATGATCAGGAAAGAAGAAAGGCACTTCTTTGTGAGCATGTGATGGAGCAGGACTTGATGTTAGCAGTACTGAAACGTAGGGGGGGACCATTAATGGGTACAAACATCGAACATAACATGTACCACAATGATTTCTGGTCATTTACCAACTTAAGTGGAAGTGCATTCGTGCATTTCCACGTATGGGATCAACCACGGCCATGGCAGATCCCTCAATCTAGGTGCAATTCAACTTCATGAAGTGGATGCAGATCCAGATTTTTTGCCTTCCATGTGTCCCACACCGTTTTTTTTTAGCAGGAGATCAACAATTACCCTCTGGTAAACTGTCACATAACTATGGAAAGATCCACCATGTTATAGCTGGGTAAATCCACTATTTCGACTGGGTCATTTTCAATGGCTATTTTGACATAACCAGAGGGTATCAAAATTCATGTTGTAACAAAAACAGTCCGATTCCAAAAGGTTTTTTTTTTTTCGGCCAGCCATGGTTACCATGGTTTGAATCTTGAAATAATAACCATTGATAAGTGGCAACAAATGGTGGAAATATGGTGTATAAACCACTCACAATATGTTTTTACAACCGCCAAGAATGACAAGACATGTTGGTTTTTTTTTGGAATAGTGGTTTCTGAATGGATCATTCACATTGGCAGTTAAAATCATCCAATTATTATTTATGTTGTTAATTCAAAATAAAATATGGGTTTCCTGAAATGGTGGTACCCCCAGTTATCATCCATTTCAGTAGGGATTTTCCATGAAATAAACCATCCAGCGAGCTTGGGGTACCCCCATTTTAAGAAACCCCCATATGTGAATAGATTGAGGGGTGTTCAATTTCTTGTGCTTCATCCAGATCCGTATCCCCCAGAGATCCACAATTTTTTGCCCTGCAGGGCGACCTTCTGCCCAAACTCTACGAAGCATTGAAACCTGAAGAAAAAAATGGCAGGCTTGCTCCAACCTCTGAACATTGGAATTTAAACATCGAAGAATTGGGATAAAACATGATAAAACATGATAAAACATGATAAAACATGATAAAACATGATGTAATCCTGAAGATTGGGACTTATATAAACATTCAATATATCCAATGAGCATTCCATGATGGGAAAAGTATCGGCAAAATCCTGGCCACATCGTTTCGAGAGCCATTCATCGAGATGTCGCCGCTTTCAATTTTGGTTGACGAAACCCAATGTTGGCTGGTTTCAATGCTGATGGCAAACATGAGGCTGTTTTTTATATATAATATAATGTATAATATATATATAGATAGATACATATGTTTATATATTAGTTATGAAAACATATATTAGATACTATACATATGTATATATACTAACCCTTTCATATATGTTTATAGACTATACAGCAAAGGGTTAGTAATGAAAGGCGTTGCCTACCAGTATGTGGACTGGGATGCAAGGTGGCTCCACATCTCAGCGAAGATGTGCCCAGAAGACTCCACCTAGTACCTGGTTTATTGGGGATTATAATCTACATATCATTATACATGTATATATATATACATGTATGTGTATATGGATATGTATAATGTATGTGTATATATATACACATAAATGTACATAAATGTATATATATATGTATGTATATATATATATATGTATAAATATATTCATATATATATATAATATACATGTAATAATATACGCATATAGATACACACACACAATCAGGTTCCAATGGAAGTTCTCATGTTGTATTTAAACTGAGCGATATGCTGGGAAACTGACCTAATGTTTATCAAGTCATACAGAGTGTCATTTTGCAATAACGCTGTTGGTAAAAACATGCGCAGACTTGGGCAATAAATGATTTTCACGTTGGATTATGTTGCGGGAGTCTTTCCCGAACATTGCAATAGACTAGTGGACCGGCAGTGTTATGTAGGGAGATTGGACTGAACATTAGATCCTCTGGTCAATTCAGCATCATCATACGATTTACTAGTGTCAGCCGCTCATTTGTGAATTTCTTTATGATGTACCTCATGAAGTCACCCCTCATTCCCTCGCCTGTTCAAAATTGCGGACCGGCTGATATTTCTTGCTCCAATAAGATTCGAGAAGTCAGGGTGTTTTGCAGCTCTCAGACGCAGCCCCGCAAAAACAGAGAACATGGAAGAGGGCAGCGTACCTTTGCCTCATCTTGCGACATCTATATCACTATCACTGCCTGAAATGAAACAGGTAGGGGTATTGGTGTACCCTCTGGTTATTTAACATAGCCATGGTATAGATGGCCCATAGAAATAGATGGTTTACCTATTAAGAATGGTGATTTTCCATGGCAAACTGTTAGTCATAACCAGATGGTAACCATGGTGAGCTCACTTCTACAAGTTGTGATATGGTGCCCCATGGTGCACCTATACCCATGGTGAAATAGAATCACTGCACTGGAACTGCACCCCGTAGGTAGCACTATTAGTGAGGTCACCGCCGTCAGCACATCATGGTTGAGATATGTTGAGATCATAACAAAGAAATATTGGTGTAGTACATAGATGTACATAGCAGCTAATGACAGCACAATGTTAATTAGTGATCATATGTGACAATGATAATATATATATAATATATATATAATATTTATACAGAACACAGGTATATGGTTAAATAGCATAGTCAAATGACAATCATAGTCACAAGATCTTCAGCCCACACAGAATCAGCTCTCGGCATCCCACTCTCCAACGTCCAACGTCGGCCGGTCATCGCCGGTGACGAACGCGAACGCTGCCATGGCGATGCTTCGGTACGCCGTGGATGGCGTCAAGCGTCAAGCGCTTACAGGAGGCTATGGGGGTCGAGTAACAAAAACGGAGGTATAATACCAACCATACTGGGGATATTCGCATGTGATGGGATATAACCAACTCGTGATTTGGGGCTGTCTGGCTGAATACTGAATGACTATATATATGTTATATATATATATCATATATTAATATATATATATATATCATATATTAATATATATATATATGTATATGTATGTATATACTTACACACATGTATATACACTGCGTATATGTATAATATATATATACAGTATATACGTAGATAGGTCACGTGTATCTCAAAGATGGTTTGTGTGGTGAATTGTCTGGGATCTTTTGGCCTTGGGTGAACCAGAGGCTAACCAGGGTTGGATGCTATTAAGATCTATTAAGCATATTATACACTTATATAACTTATATAACTTATATAACTTATATAACTGATATATTGTGTTGATAATAAGTTGTAAGCATGGTTACAGCCATTTATATCTCCAACTGCAGCAAGTAGTTTGGAGACCACTGAAGGCTGCGAAGCAGTTGGAGTGGATTCTTTCTTCGCGGCTCTCCAGCGATGTCTTGCGAAAGTCGGTGTGATCCTTAGAAGAAGCGGCCATTTGGGCCACGGGTGGTGATGCGCTTGATTGAGCTTGGGTTTAGCCCGGGGGTCCCTTATGTTTCCTCATGTTTGGATGGTTTATCAGACTGATTCAACATGATTTTCTAGAGTGGTGATTCGTGGTTAAAGTGCTGGGTATAGAGGAAATTGCAGGGAACCTAAGGAAACCCATTTGTGTTAATTCATACTACCAAACTTGGTTGAAATCAAACAAAGATCATTTCTATCCCAGCCTCAGTGGATGAACAGGGCATGGTCCTCGGATGTACATCCTGGGGATGGTTCCCATACTGCCTGGGATCCAAGTCCGCTGAACATGTAGGGTTTTGGATAGGTATACCTGATCTGGTTGGTGGTTTCAAACATGGCTGGATTATGTTCCATTTCATATATGGGATGTCATCCTTCCCATTGACTTTCATATTTTTCAAGATGGTTATTGCACCACCAACCAGTGATAAATCAAAATACCTCTGAAAGTTCAGCAACTTCATCAACTACTTGAATTGATGATGTAAATTTCAGCGTGGTTATCCTCATTTTGGTGTTCTCCACCCGAAATAAGCACAAGCCAGTTCCGCGTCTCAGGCGACGAAGCTGTTGAGGAACGGTCGACAGCCCTGGGTCTTCGCCCTTCATTTGCTGCGTCGTTTGGATGAGAGTGCCTCGAAATTATGGGGGATTCAGCATGTTTCAGCCATGAAGCTTCATGGATTTGACCTGATGGGAATGAACTGGATTTGTTGCCAAAATGTGGCTGAAGGACCGCCAAAATGGTGGGTTTAATGAGGTATAATCATAAGATTTAAGCTGCAAACATGCAAGGTTGCCCACAAAAAGTTTGGAGAAACCCGTTTGGATGCGGGTGTGGGTCGAAATTTTAGATTTTTAATGGTAAACAAATGTGGTAGCCCAATAATACTGAACCATCCCCACTTCCTCTGGAAACCTGTTCTAATGTACATGCTCCCATTTGGAAGAATATCATTGGGTTTACCATATTAATTCCCAAATTAGCAATGCTTACCATTTACATCCCCCCCCAACAAGGGAATATCATAGCTCTGTTCAATATGGGTTTGTCAGAAGTTGGAGGATACCTGCAAATAGCAGTTTATCAACCATTGGATCTTGAGGTACCCTATTTTCAATCAATTCCATATCCCAAACATAAAATTCATATCTTATATAAACCCCAAAAAGTTGTGGATATCCTGATATCCCATTTGCTTACGTCTATTCTTATGATCAATGGATAAATGTCCATTATACATCATTATACCTTATATCTCCACTATAGAATTATCCCAAACTTCCACTCATTTTCATGAGCTACCAACATCCAAGGTGCCGTGCGGCCAGACTTGATTTCCTTTGGAGCCGCCCAAGATACCTTGGCACACAGCAAGCACAGCTCGGCGTGGCAACATGCGCTGGCTGTGTTGGTGGAGGCTGCGGTCGGTTGTAGCTGAGAACTGATGTGGTGTGAACCCTGGATTGTTTGAGTGGGTGCCATTTGAGTATCAGATCCTAACTATTTGAGGAGTATCCCCTTAATAAACGATGGCTTATCAATCTGGGGTTGTCATTAAGCCATTTAATGGCTATTTAATGGCTATTTAATGGCTATTGAATATACTTAATGGGAACATATTGGGAGACAATGGCTGATGGAATATAGCTAACCAACAATCTACAGGGTTTCTCCAACCCATTATGGGTGAATGGTGGGCCTTGTCGGGTGTAATAGCAGGCCTGATGAAGATCGAACAACAAAAAGCGGTTGTTTGAGAACACGAAATTTGGAGAATTACAACAGGTGATGACCTGTTTCAAAGCAACGGTTTGACATTTAGGCCATTGACGATTTTGAAACAATTGTGAATGGCAGAGGATTTAACCGTTAAGATCTGGATATTCACCAAGAAATAAGCAGAGGACGAGTGCCTCAACTTGGAGTTTACAACAAAGAGAAATTAATCTAGATATTGAAACAATAGAACGTCGGAGCAACACATGTTTTGGGATATCCACCAAGCAGAGGATTGTTCATTTTGCCCAACTTTTACATCCAGTTGGGGAACAGGGAACACCTGAGAAGATAGCAACCAGATTGAAACTTCTCACGGGTGTCATCTTCCAGGCCTCTTTTTTTTGGGGGGAGTAGTGAGGAGGGAGACCCTTATGTAGACTAGATATGTTAAACAAGGTAGCTCCACTTTAGCTGCCCTTTGTTCCTCAAATCCGATGTTCCCTGTCGACAATCTCGACTTGCCCAATGGGATCATTTTGTTTCGCACCAAGGACGGCAAGTGACTATGACTAAGGAATTGTTGGCAAGTGAAACTATCCAACATATCCATCTATTGGTGATTGAATCAGTTTTTCATAGTTTTTCCATAAAAGATCGATGCCGATCGATGTTGTTTCTATTTTTCATACTATTGCCATTCGGAAATAGATTGATAGATTTTATTCCCCCATTACCCTCTGGTAAACTAACATAGCTATGGAAAATCACCATTTTCAATGGGTAAATCCACTATTTCTATGGCCATTTTCAATAGCTATGTTAGTTTACCAGAGGGTACTTGCAGGACCATCCCAACTGATCAATGTTGGGAGGTGCAGCTGCGCAGACTCAGTGTGGATGCAGCGTTGATGGCTGTGGCCATCCATGCGTGTCGACAGCGATGGCGACAGGCCAAAAAAAATGATGTCGATCAAAGCTGGATCAGATGGGGAATACAGGGGCATACAAAGAGGAGATATTAGGCTGGTTGGTGGTTTGGAACATGGCTTCTATTTTCCCCTTCCTAGTTGGGATGATGATCCAATCTGACGAACTCATTTTTCAGAGCGGTTGGTCAACCACCAACCAGTAGGAGATGCTACTTACTTAATGAAGATATCTTGAGACTTGAATGTTGATCCATGAGTGTCTGGGAATAGAAACAGTCGAATTATTGCTAATTTGGTTTGATCATGTTTGATCGATGTACGATGACGTACGGGATATTTAAGATATAAGATCATTTCAAATCAATATCATATAATATCAAAAAAGAAGTCCATCACCTATATATTTTCCATGATTACTGGCCGCCAGACGGATTTCCAATCGTGGGATGACGTTAATAACCCACAGTTAAACCGGTGGTGTTTGACCATGGCAGCCGACTCAGCACTTCTGTTATGATCATGGTTAATTTTGATGACAACTTGATGACAACTTGATAACGCAACCAAATAATCATGATGTTTGTGAGAGTTATATTGTATTGATGGGGAAACTTCGGAAACCAATGATGAAAGAAGAGGGTTTTGGGGGAATATAGTTCACATATAGAATAGTCTCCATTTCGACAATATCTAATATGTTCTTTACATCTACAATCGTGGGCCATACACTGCTGAAAACAGAGGCAACTTAACAACCAAAAATTGAATGTAACTTGGAGTTGCTGGGTGCAATCTAATTTCCAAGCCATTAGTAGCCCGCAATTACAACATATTATAACCATTATAATTATATCCCAATCTGTGAGGGTACAACCGATATAACCACGGCGCCATACTTTAACTGCGGCCCAAGTTGAGGACCATCGTTGTAGCATCTTGGCAAACAATTATCGTCAGACTCTCCGCGCAAAACTTGGTTGTTTTGTTTCTGGCCATGGAACATCAAAAAACTGACCAACTGAAAAAGTGTGTTTTTTGATGTTTTTTGTGCCGGGTATCTAGTTGACTGGCCATGTTTTGTTGGTTCAACCACCAGGCCTTTGCATTGCTGGCAGATGCTACAAGGTGGAGGGGCAGACGTTGGAAGTTTTGGAGTAGCCTCTCAAACATGGCAATGCGGGATTGCCAATAAATGGAGGTTTCAATAGAAACAAAATATGTACAACGGTGGGATTTTCCATTGCCGTTTAGGCAGTCTCTGGCACTTTGGAACAGTTTGCTATGGAAGCCATGGCCCATTGGGTTCAATGATTTACCTATGAAAAAATCTTATTTGTCATAGTTATGTTAAATTACCAGATGGCATACATCTGCATTACGCATCCTTCTTTAGATCCCAAAATATTGAATAATGTGGACTCATACCCATACCTAGTAAAGTTCTTGGTCGGAGGGATTTACTTCACAACCACCAAACATCAATATGAGCCTTTCATGGGCAACATGCGATATTACCCCATTAAAAGAACAAACATCAGGTGTATTCTGATTTTATCAGGTGCACTTGCGGACTTGGGAAGCCACCCACTTGGGACAGCACTTTTTGAACACGTGCGATTTGAGCGATCTTTGGGATACCATGCGGTCCAAATCGCCTTTTGAAATTTGACACATTAAGACTCTGATGTACTTGGCTGGTTGATGGTTGTACAATGTTGTACACATCATGTATGATGTGAAATATACGTATAATTATATATATACACACTATATGTAAGACTACTAATATGTAAAATTATGTATGTATTTTTTTTTGTTCAGCCACATTTGGTTCAGATGCCAAATTTTCCTGAGATCAGATGAGGCCACCGATTTTTCCATCGTCTTGACCCATGATGAACATCAGCCATGACGTAATCCACACAGGGTCGTCTTAACAGGCACAAACTCAACGACTGGGCAGCATGTTGTGGGGAATCCTTGGTGAAGACCATGCAGATCCATGGGACTTAGTGGTTTATCGATGGTTTTTAGTGACGCTCAACTGGGGATACTTCATGTAGATACACATGGCTGGGTTACCATGTGCTTATTGCCTAGTTATTGAGATATATTGAGATCTTAGCTGTTTCGTCACTCGCGTGCTGGCACTCAGCACTCGCGTGCCAGCACTCGCGTGCTCAGCACTCACTCCAATGCACTTTTCCCAGTGTGCATCCTAGTAGATATGTTTATCTTGATTTAGATAGTGGATGCTTTTATTGGAATAGGAAAACTGCATTGGAGTGACGATAAGCATGAGATATCATGAGATCCTCATCACATTCATGAGAGCCGCACGAGTAACTCCAAGTGGCGTTGATTTTTTCAACACCCTGAAAGAAATTACCCTTTTGGAGGAAACGGGGAAACCCCAGATGCTTTTTTGGGAAGCGCAAAATGCATCCGCACGTCAGGCAGATATTCGCACGTTACCGGGTGCTTTTGTCACAGAAAAGTAAATGCACCGAGGTATGAATAGGATAATAGAACCCCATGCGTTTCGAACTTGCGATTTACTAGCCCTTTAAGGTCTAAGATTTGTATGGATGCTTTTTTCGGATCTAGTTAAATGCATTTACATATATCATCACAATGCTAAAACACACTGCGTGACGAACCTGCGTGCTAGCACTCAGCGTTGCGCGTGCTGCGTGCTGGAGCTGCTAAGATTGAGATACACCTCCAAGTAATTGACCATAGTTACAGTAAGCAGCCATATCAATCAACAATCGCTAACATTTATCCAATCAAGCTACCAATTAATGGCTCGCGTGATCATCTCTCCAAAACAATAATGACCAAATGTTATTTGTTGGTGATATTACGGTGCAGATCCCAAACCCTGTTTGTGATGGTTAAATTAATTGGACCTCCAAAAAATCTAAGACATCTATGAAAAAAAAGTTTAAACAAAAACAACACATTAAGAGGGATTCAGAAAACATCATGGGGATTAGTGATCAATATTTTCCACAAACAACATAATTCACCCGGAAAGACCCAGTCGCCCACCAGGCGCAGTCTTTTCAGCGATGTGGCGCGCAGTTCCAGTATCTTGGCCTGCGGCGTAGCCTTGCAGTGGCGCAGAGCATTGGCACCTTGGTGGCGAGCTCGGTGCGGCTGAGCTGGGAACACCGGTGTTAAGTGTTAAACATAGCTGGGACGTGCCGGAACGAAATAGAGGTTTCTAGCTGGGAATGAGAAAATATAGGGAACATATCACTATTATCACTATTAGGTGGGAAAATACCAAGGATAAATGATACATAGAGTTTATGTTTAATAGCTGGGGTATGCGATTCTAATGTGATAAGCCCAATAATAATCCTACCGTATCCTACCATTTGGGGATGATAGTTACACACCATTTATAGTGATTTTGGGGATGATTTATTATTGGGTTTACCAGAGTATTAGTAAAACATAGCGATAAATTGTTAAGAGTATACATTTATTTAGAGACATCTGTGATATTTAATAGTAAACATTAATACATCAGACACGGAGTAACCCCCAAAAAATATAGAGTTGTCCTTCTGCAGTATTGATTCATTTCATGACCCACCAGCAAAAACAGTTTTGTTCTTTGCGAATGATTGGAACCGGTGGTTCAGGGGTCCCAAAATCACGGAGCATTAATTTCTTGGCACACGTCCATTTTCGTTTATTTTGAACATTGTTGAACTATTATATCTCTATAAAACATTTTTTTAAACATCACTTTTAGATGGCTCTGGAATATGATGGCCCTGGTGGGCCGGAAGATTCTCACTACATTTCGTCACTATTGGTTGGTAGTTGTATCAGGGTTCGCTAAGGGTAGCTAGGGTTGATTGAGGGAATCCATATCAAACAAGCTGTCAACCTTTACAAGGTCCCTCCAGGCCTTATTTGTTTGGGTGGTACCTCTACCTAGCAATCTCTACAAAGATAAGTGATAATGTCAGGTTGGGTTTTGACCCCAGTTAGTATGGTTGTATCCATGTCAGGTCAATGACTAAGCCAACATAATAAGTGTGTATATATATATATATACAACAAACTTTTTGTGGGTCCGAACAGGTACCATATTTGCACTGCTTAGTTGAGCAGTTTCCAAAACCCTTTTTGGTGGCTATCCAATACATGGGCGATGAATCTTATGGAACAACCATTTTTTGGGTGGTTCTCCAATAAGTATCCCATTAGTATATGTATATGACTGTGTATATAGATATACACATTTACATTTATATATATATATAGATAGATGTGTATAGATGAGTTTGATATAGATGTTTTCAGGGCATTTCATGAGATGAGGCCATCCTTACAGATAGCTCGACGTCGGCGCATCGCATCCCCTGCTCTGCCGCCACGTACAGCTCAGTGACTGATCGAAACAATGGAGGCCTTTTGTATGGGAAGAGGAGGTTGCAGTCACGATGGCATTTTGGTTGGGTCGTTGTGACAGTCAATATGATTGTCCTTTTCTTGTTCGCTCGATAGACTTCCATCATGATATCTATTGAATCCCAGTTTTCACATATGTTGAAGCCAAATTGCAATCGTTTCTTGGTTAAACACAGATGTTTGAAACATGTTGAACCATGGGCGGGATGGAGTTTCCATTTTTCTAGAGAGTCCCATGTGTCAACATTAACAGGTTGAGAAGATGGGTAAGAACATGTCAGTAATTTAGATTAATTTAGAGCATCATCTTCAGGTGGATTTCATTGTCCGATGGAACTCCAAGACGTGGAAGTGTAGCATCAAGTGATGTGATGCCCTCATAAGTTGAGCAGCCGCGTTTGACACCTCGTTGATGATCACTTCGGGGATTACATTATCATCATTATCCAGTATACACTGTGGTAAACTAACATGGCTATAGAAAATCACCATTTTAATGGGAAAATCCACTATAAATGGCCATGTTCAATAGCTATTTTGACATAACCAGAGGGTATCCAGTTTTTTTCTGGGGATTCTCACCATCCAACAGCTCAGTTGACAACAATCACAGCATGTTCTTTGGATTGGCTGAGAAAGCACCCGAATAGTCCATACTCTGGGATGCATATCCAGATCATTCAAAATCTATTTGTAACTGGTCCTTAATGTTTGTTTTCCATTGTCATATAGGTCTAGTTCATACTCACTATAATTTAAATTGATTATCCCCAATATGTGGGCTGATTGATGCTTATATGATACGTTCAAAGGAGGTGTGACAACCACTTTTTTTGTCATACACCAGGGTAATGATTAAGTCTTGATCCATAGTCCATAACCATATTCTAATTGTTTCCAGACAGTTCCTTTCCTTCGGCCTTACTTGAAGACGAAATGATACCACAAATAACTAAGATAGACCCCATTTGCAAGACAGTAACACCTGTACAGTAAGCAGTTCAGTTATATAATATATGTTAATTGAGTTATTTTCTCATTTGAAAAAATCAACTAAAACATAATATTTTAGACCTAATTTCTATATACATCTATATACCCACATGAAATCCTTGGTGGAGACCTTTAGACATTTCCATCCTGAGGCAATGTGTGCGATGGAAAGCGCCACTCAATGGCAACATGCCTTGGAGATCCTCCGCTTGGCCATAGAAGAGGCCCAACGGGCGGCTTGATTTTAACCTATAACGGAACCATTCAATGAATCAAATGGGGAAACATAACCTATATAATATACATATACCTATACATATACCTATATATATATATTATACCTATACATATACCTATACAGCTATTGTCAAAATTGTGGATATGTCACGACCTCACGACGTGACGTTGCAACGTAAATGATGGTTTATATAATTTATACACGCGGAATCATCCCAATGTGACATCATGTCAGCTTGGTGAAATACTGAGATTTTTTACCCACTTGGATGATTAAAACAGATGCAAGGGATATACCACTTATAGCTGGGTCACATCATGGCTATGAACCCTTCACTTCTAAGATCTTCTAAGTGCCTGCCGTGGAAACGGAGGCAAAAATTGCTCCCCTTCAAGAGAAGTGCTCATAGAGAAGCAAATGAAACAGTCGTAAAGGTTGTTAGATGCAGTGTCTCAGATCTGCTGATTTTCGTCGGCAGTGGACTTCCAGATGCACGAAAAATTCTGGTTTCCAGATGCACTGCCTCTGATCGATTCTCTGAGGCTCGCGGCATTCTTGCAGAATACTGTCTGAAAGAACATGTGGGGGTTTTCCATAGTCATGGGGGGTACCCCCAGTCATCATCCATTTATAGATGGATTTTCCATGAAATAAACCATCCATAGTCATGGGGATAGCCCCATGACTATGGAAACCTCCATGTGACATAGCAACGCTACCACATACACATCGCCTGAGAAGTGCACACGCGAGCACGAGGTGCATGGCAAGTCCATGAAACAAAAGCATGATCCGAAAAAACAAAAAAAAGTACCAAATTTACTTTTCATGGATAAACATTCATTAAGGGTGGCGAAGCAAGCAGATTTGACCACGGTCAGATCTTAGAAACTGATTTCAGGTTTGTTGGATGGCTTGATGAAGGTTTGCTCATCGTACTCTATCCAGTCGAGACAGCCACTGGTAAACGGCAAAAAAACAGTTTTGGGATTGAATAAGGAACTACATGGGTTTTGTGGGGTGTTAAGCGACAGACATTGGGGATCTAGTTGATAAATGATGCTTCATTCGTCAGTTGGAGTCGTGCTAGCTGGTTTGCTGGGGAACTTGGACTTACCCAAAATAAGAGTAGCTAACAGGATACTGCTTCACACCAGGAGAAGCATCAAACATTAAACATGGCCTTTGAAATCCGAGTGAAAACCAAGATTCTTTCCAGATGTACTGTGTTTCTTAAGTGGAAAACGGAGCCCTGGTTCGCTTCCATGTGAGTTTTCAAGGTTGAACCATGTTGAACCTATTGAGTCAGATGTTGCTTTGCCGAACGCTCACACCATGTGCTCAGCATGTCAGGTGTCTCCTGATGTGGTCTTGTTCTCCGCTGGCATCAGTGCAACTGAAGCAGCAGGATCTCAGTTTTGTTTTTCTGTGGGGTACAATGATATATAGACAACACATTCCATATAATTATAATGTAATTATATACTATGCAATGTAATTGATGCAATAAAATCTAATATATTACAAGTAATGTAATGTAATAGATTGTAACATAAGTTAATAACTGTAAATCTGTTTGCGCACACTTTTCATGCAGCTGTACATGTGTTCAGCAGAACAACTGCCTGAGATCGAAGCTCAGAGTTGCGATGAAGCTGATCGAGAGGCCTTCCAACAAAGCTTTCAGTGGTCGGAAACATCAGTTCCGGAAAGGATAGCACTACTTGTCGGTCAGACAGAAGATTGCAATGTGCGAGTTCGATATCTTCCTCTTGGGAACTTGGTTGACCTCTAGTGCCAATCCCAACGCATGGAGCTGCGGATGGAGAAGCTGCAATCCCTGGACTACATTCTACCGATGTTGGAGGGAACTTAGGGAACTTGTCCACAAACGTTGCTTGCGCTTTCAAAGAATGCATTCATGCCTATCTACGTCTAGATATGCACACACACACACACACATTTGAATATGGACCGCCTGAAACACTTGGAAGGTCACTTAGGTCACTCAATTCAACTTTTGATTGGTAGTCACTCTTGTGGACCATTCTTTGAATTTGTCCCAAATTTGAGCAGGAGGTGCCATCTAAAATGTCTAAGTCTGATGGCATGATTCCCGAACTTAAATGAATTGCTTATCATATCAATACAATACCTTGGTAAATGATAGCTTCCTTAAAGCGAGGTCACAATCAACGATGGTCTTAGTCGGGACAAGCATTCCAAAAAATAGCCTACTTCTGATATGAGAATTATATAGGTATACCCCCATGACTTCTGGGATTTAGGGGCTGAAACCCCAAGTTTCTGGGACCGTCACAGGAATCCCAACTTTCTCCAATAAACTCCCTTCCAGACACCCTTGATGATGGACCCTCTGGTTATTTGACGTAGCGAACTGGAAAATAACAACAAATCAAAAATTCAATACAGTAGGTAAATAATCATGTTTATCATGTGTTTTCATGGGCCATGGTTTCCATAGCTATCTTAGTCAGGTCTAAAAAACAACCAGAGGCGCTCGTGAATCTGCTCCTTTGGTGTACATCTCTGCAGTTTCTGATGAGTTCCCAAAAATCCACTTGATTTTATGGTCCCCAAAAATGATTTGGTCATGTTCAGGAGAAGGGATTGTTATAGAGGAATTCTAGGGGATTATAATCCAATTAATTAACAAGACAAATAATTTCATAAAGTATCATAAAGGTTTAAACAAATGGATAATGAGGACAACAGTGGGATTATCATGCAATACCAAAGTACTGTAGCTTGTCAAATAGTAGTCATCCTATGTTATCCTCCATATTAGATTAATACCAACCATCCACTACTTGCACTATCCCTATATATAGATCTAAAATGAAGTAAACAAAATGAAATATCTAGGGATCTTTAGGGATATTTCATATCAGATTTCATATAGACCTAAAATGAAATAACATGATATTATCTCTATATGATGCCCCATTTGTTTATGTCCAAAAACCCACAGGAGGTCGCTGGCAACATGCCTTGCAATTGATGCAAGATGCAAAAGGATGGCAGATCCAAGCTACTTGGCGGAACATGGTGCAGGGGTGTTTACTGGGCAGAACATCTAGAATCTACATTTTTGGATGGTTTTTGGCAAGTTTCTCCTGGCAACATTGATGTTCATTGTAGCCGCAGCAGGGGCTTTGGATGATATTTGTTTAAGGATCATCTTTTATTACCATTATGTGACCAACCAGACCATCTTCATTATATGTTACCATCCAATATATGTGGTTTTATGATTCGTTGTGCCTCTTTTATTCACCCATCTTACATCATATTACCATATATTACCACCTAATTGCATCTATGGGTATTGACAGCAACCGCCGTTTTTGCTGCGGAAATCAACGCGAGGTCAACGTCGTCATGCTGAGTGCGGCCTTGAGCGCGTTGGTGACTTGGTCGCGACCGGACGCGACATCGTGCGACCGGACTCGGAGATGCGGGGGTTCGGGTTTTTGCCACCGAAAATGGTTAATCTGAGCCAATATGGTGATGTTTAATGATTTAATGTGGGTCAATATGGTGTCAACATGGGTTTATTATGGTTTATTTGGTTGTTGTATGAGTTAATTAATGGTTATAATATGGGTTTGTATGGTTATAATATGGCATACTACAGGTATGGATTTATATATGGGCGAACATCGCTAATATGGTTATAAGATATATGCCATGCCCATACAATATTATGCTTGATATGTATCCAGTGGTGAATAGAGGGAACGGTTGAGAGCTATGGGTATCCATATTCCCTTTCTTAAATAAGGAGCTCTGTGGAGCGAATAAGACTTTCCCAACCACATTATAGGTAGTATTGAGGTCTTACACAGGGAATGTATAGATACTGCCGCATGCAATGACCAGGTAGCAAGGTAACAATGATACAACGTACATTTGTTTCGGGGGAGCGTGGGCAACAAAAGACTTGACCAATTTCTCCTTCAATGTGGGCCCCCGAGCTATAAGTTTATAGATCTTGATACATCTACCATAATCATATAATAGTAAATGTATTTAGTTATTAACCAACTTTACCTACAAGGTGGTACCCTATTTCGTTTGATAACTTGGTGCAAATAACCTCGCGAAAGATATATCGAACTGGTTAGCTGTGTAAACATGAACCAACAAAGATTTTACTGGGGGGCACCACCTTGTAGTTGTGTAATGTTGTCTGCAATATGTTTGTATTATATTGTACCTACAATGACATCAGGTATAAATATTAGTGGATGTATATTCATCTACCATTTGGTTATTTAACATAGCCATGGAAAATCCCAATTTTTAATAGGTAAACCATCTATAAATGGGCAATTTTCCATGGCTACGTTAAATAACCAGAGGGTATATTCATCTATCTTAAACCTACAGTAGATTGACCAAATATTCAAGCCCAGACACGCTGGCCATCTTTCCAAGGAGAAGGGCAGTCAGTGGCATTCAGCACTGTCGTTGATGACAAGTTTCCAAGGGCCAGTCGATGCCATTGCCTGCCCCTTGTCCCACTGGTCCCAGGGCGTCGGGGTTGCCCGGAAATGAGGCCATTTAGCTTTGGCCATTTTGGTTTATACCCTCTGGTTATTTATACCCTCTGGTTATTTAACGTAGCCATGGAAAATGGCCCATTTATAGATGGTTTACCTATTAAAGATGGGGATTTTCCATGGCTATGTTAAATAACCAAACGGTAATAGGAAAAATGTTGATCAGTGATGATCAGTGTATGTTTTGTCTCCAAAAGTTGAACGATTTCATCGGAAAGGGATCCCGTACTGCGCAGGGAGGTGTCAAATACATTCGAATACCATGTTTTATGCAATGGGATGGGCTGGTCTCTCAAGCCCCATGCAGGTGTTTTTTTTCTATCGATTTCATTTTAGGCCCTTTTTCGGAGCAAGTATCAGATAGGTTGTTTTTTCTGTGATAGCAAATATATCGCGACCCGCAATGGATTGAACGGTTATAAGTTATAAACCTATGACGTGTTGTGTTTTTCTAATATGTGTTTTGTTTTTTATGTAGCATCCTTGACAGATGTTTCACTCATTTTGAGGGATTTTGACGGACCCAAATTTATACACGATTGTTTGGTGGTGCTTTGATATATGTCGACATGTCTCAATGATATTCAAATCTTTAGGATGATGGTCCCCAATGACCTTTTCACATGTCAGGGGAGTCCAACGTTGCTACCATCGAGAAACGCGCGACCAAGTCGTCCAGGTAATGCCGCCGTGAACGCGTGCAAGCAAGGAACGTCCTGGGAACTCGCCTTGCGACTGGGTTCATGTGGGGCTGTGGGAAGTGGCTTCATGGAACTCGCCCCAATCGGATGGAAGATGTTGTGCCAGGGTCAAACCATGGGTTGTTTTACCATAAGGGATGGTCATCACTCCATCACCAGGGAAAACTAAGGATTTATATACCATTATATATAATATTTTATACCCATTGTAAATTCCCATTTAAGGGATGGATGGCACAACTTTTTCCATGTATCTGCAGGGAGCAACCCTGCTAAACAACACTTTTCCAGGGGCTTCGGCTTTAGCGTCTTTTGGTCTTGAGATTCGTAAAACTCTGGACCACTTCATTTCCCAAGGTGCAATTGGCAACTTATCGGCAACACGGGAGGATTCATATGGAATCTTTATGAATCTTTGATATTTCAGGTGCTGTCTTGTATGAAAAACGTCTTGTTTTGCATGGTACTGGATGATAATGCTATGGCCCCTACCGCCATTGCGGAACCGAAAACCGAAAAAGGCTCATCGATGACTGGCGACATTTCAGACAGGGGATAGATGGTTTATGGATGGTTTATGGATGGTTTATGGATGGTTTATGGATGGTTTATGGATGGTTTATTGTTATTTATTGTTATTATACCTTAGGTCCCATCCGAAAATCAAAACTCACTTTCAGCATGTCTGGGACTCAACTTCAGGAAAGCGTGAAAAACATGGAACACATCGAGAATATCCATGAACATCAGAGCAATCAAAACCATAAACAAAAAAATCAACACTGTGGCGTTGGTACATGCACGCATACACCGATAAAATCACCGTAGATGTGCCGTACAATCACAATAGAATCACCCAGTTCATCATCATAAAATCACCATGAAATTGCGAATCATCATATCATCGACATCGTTCAAAACAAGCTAAGTGACATAACATTTTTATGTCCCATTAAGTCACATAAAACATAGACCCTCTGGTTATTTAACATAGCCATGGAAAATGGCCTATTTATAGATGGTTTACCTATTATAAATGGTGATTTTCCATGGCTATGTTAAATAACCAGAGGGTATATAAAATCCATAGGATCATCATGAAAAATCACCATGACAGCTCTAAAAAAATCCCCACAGAAAGTCCATAAATTAAATCACATGGACTCAACATGGAAAATCACACCATAAATCACCGTAAAATCACCACTAAAATCACCACCACCTCGTTAGATCCCCAAAATCTTCAGCAAACATCGCCTGGAATTGTCACATTGAATCACCAGAAAATCACCATTTAATTCATTTGATCACAGAAAATCACCATAAAATCTCAATTTTTCTGTGATTAAACCACCATTTCTCCTACGTCGTCGACTCCTTTCCGGCGCTTTTCCAGGCACTTCGCTTCCGGCGCCACACGTCATGGTTACAACGCAGCTGCACAGAGCCTGGCCACCTGTCACTTCTGGCAAAGGCCCGCTGTGTAGCTGCCACCCCCGTCACCACCAGTCTTAGGCAAAACAAGGCGTGTCGAGACTTCACCATCCAACAGTGCTTGAAATTCAGTGGACCATGAGTTTTTGTTTCCGAAAAGATTGTGCTGTTTTTAAACCACATGATTCAGAAAAACATCTCCATCATTGACATATTGTTTTTTCCTGCTACACCAGATATACCCCGGTTACTGGGCAATGCCATGCCATGATCTGACCAAGTTGACCCATCCAACATTGGACCAGAAACGCAGAGCAGAAGATGAAAGCTTGGGGGGAAGCCACCCAAATCCATCGCTTAATCAATGTTAATCATAATTTTCCCATGGCTACAGATGCTGTATTCCCATTATGGAAATGTCTCGATGTTCTTCTTGTTACATAGAGAAAAACACGTGGTAAATCATTCTTTTTCATTACAGTTTGCCTAATCAAAATACCCAATGTTTGTCGCTTGTTGGTCCTTCCTAGCTCGGAAAGTCACACAAGACAAGCGGTATTAACAGCCCCAAAGCCCATATATCAAGGGAGTCAAATGAGTTCAAAATCAGCACAACTAGCATCAAAATGTGGTAAACTGCCGGTAGACCCAATGGCAAACCGTCCCCATTCACCAACCAAATTTTGGAGGTCATAAATATGGGTATGGATCAATACCTATTAATACCATTTTTAGGGGGATGAACATCCATTTACCAGCTATTTTGATGTGAACTACAGGGGTACCAGGGTTTTGACCCATCCCCATATGAGTGGGGATCGTTGTTTTTTTGGTTTACCACAGACAATTCTCGGTTGATATTCCCATCTTTGAGATCCGCCATGGCGCAGGTGTCTCAAGTTGCTGGCAGATCTGCCAAGCGGAGATGTGGTGACTGAGATCGCCATGCAGATAGCGTGTGAGGCGCATTTGTTCTTTGGGAAGCAAACAAAACATTAAAAAAAAACAAGCAAGGTATGCCTGGTTGGTGGTTTGGACATGTTTTTTTTTCCATATATTGGGAATAATAATCCCAACTGACTGTCATATTTTTCAGAGGGGTAGGTCAACCACCAACCAGAAAAAGTGTGTGGCGCTACAGCGACTTGTAGCTGCAGGCACCTCCTTGTGATATCACCTAAAAGACGTGAGGCAATGCAAAACCAAATGAAAGCCATAAATCATGCAAGAACCAATTAGAAACTTTGGTTAGTGGTTGATTTGCTTGGATTAGTTAGTTTGGAGCCATTTCGATGAAAGGGGAACATACTCATATCCCAGGAAGCCAGTCTCACCATGAAGAAGGGCTAGGTAAGCTACCAGAATCACGATAGAATCAATTTTCAACCATTCAATTGGCTTCAACCTTTTTCGGCGGATTTTTGTGTTTTTTGTGACCATTATTTTTTAGACGCCATGGCTACATGTTGTAACCATGGCTTTCAGAAAGGAGGTCACCTCACCAAGCTTTGCGTGTCGTCGGATTGGGACTGAGCCCGTGTCAAGGGTGAGAAAGTCATGGTTAAATGGTTGTTGGGACCGAAGCAGCAAAATTAGGGATTTACCAACAGAAGATTGGAAGCTGCTATGTAGTATGTGTAATATAAACAAATACTTATATAATAATATAATATATAAATATGAATAGATATCATACCATATCATATCATACCATGTATATAATACAACTAAATATGATTATATATATAATAGGAGGGTCATTTTTTGGGGGATTATTTTTTCTGCGTTTTGGGAATTTCCCAAAATAATTCTCCATCCTATATAAGATATACACATATATATCTATCATATCATATCATACCATATCATATCTGCATCAATTCGGTTTGATTTCCAGCGGGCACAGGCAGCACATCGACCCTGGCGAATGCCGCGATGCGTTTCCAAGCACATGACGTGACGTAACGGCAAGGTAAAATGTCAGGTGAGCCATCAAAAACCGATAATGTGGGTAAAACAATAATAAACTTTCCCAAATAGGAATTCCACTTTTATGGGGAATCTATAGGGAATATGTCATCCTATTTGTTTTTGGTTCCAAAAGAGCAAATCAATCCAAGTAATGTGGGTAAAACAACAATGAACCATCCCCCAGTCATCACCATTTTGATAGGTGGTATAAACTTACCATTCCCAGTCATGGCTGGTTTATGACTTTGTTTTACCCCTAGTTGTGACGGGTTTAATATGACAATATGGAGGCAACGAGTAGACTGGGATGCCACGGAGATGTTTCAGCTTGCGACTACGTGACTAGGTCGGAAAAAAAATAGCGACAGAGGCCTCACCGTAGAATTATGGTTAGTAAGTGAACTTAACAACAAGAAACATGTTTCCAGGATGGTATAGATTATATTATATTCGTCTGGTATTTCCTGGTTTCCAGGGTATTTTCTATCATTTTCATATGTTCTATCTATTTTGGGGTTGCTGTATAGGAATTATAATCTTAACATGGTGTTGCAACATGCAAACATGTTGCGCGTAAGGACTCTGTCGGAATCCCTTGGCATAAGATGCTAAAGACAGCTTTAGAAACAATGGTCAAGTTTGGATGCTCACAATAACATAATAATAGTTGATTTACTAATGCTAACATCTTTGTCATTAGTAAAGCTAGCATTAGTATATTCTAATGGTTATTCCAATGTTAGCAATCTCCACATTTATTCTTGAATGGAGTCATTTTAGTATTTAGAAAATTTGAGTTGGCATCAATGGAGTAGGTTGGCATCATTTCTCCATTTCATTGGGGTATTTGAACCACGTGAACATGGTGATGGTCGAGATATGTTCCCATGAAGGCAGTGCATGTTTCGTGGAACACGCGACGTTTTTTTGTTTGTTTATCGATAGTCACGTGACTGGTCGATGACAAGCTTGTGTGACTTAGTTTGACCATTGATGGATCCCTATTCCGTATATTATACATACATATATATATAATTATATTATTATTATATATATATATACATATTATGTGTGCGTTTAATCGCACAAGAGTTTTTGGCTCACCACATTGATGGCAATGACTCTTTGCTCCTGCCTGGATAGAGAGGCCAGGGGTACATTTCCCATAGAGGAATCACTTGCAGGAAAGCTTTATTTTCGGATGTGCATCCCAGTTAGTAAGTGAGTTGTGCAACATGTAATAACCTTTATGACAACCATTGATCGTCCAGTTGTATGTGGGATATACCCTAGTTGCATATGGTGAATTCCACTTTCTAGTTGGGACGCACCATCGTCTGCAAATTTGGAATGTAAGACGATGGTGGTCTTTTGCAGATGTCCCCCCAATCAGCCTATTACATCCGAATGCTATGTCCATCTGCAAAGATTAACTCAGCTTGGCAGGGTATCCAAGATTGGCCTTACCTGCTGTATATTTCTATGTATTTATACAAACTACTCATTCATATATATATATGATTATATATAGACATACACATACATGCAACCATGGTAGTTGGAACCATCTCATGTTTCAGCCCCTAGTGATCGGAACATGATGGCAGGCTACAGGTTTCGCCCCGGTGGAGCATTCGAGCCTAGAAACTTCGTTGCATACCCTGAGGCTGCAGGAAGTCATGGCTAGAATTGAGATGGAGGACTGTCCAGAGAGGAATAGGGGAGCCCAAAATCTCATCAGTTAATTTGATGGCCAGTTCAGATTCTCCCCTGTTGAGCATCTTGAGCAAACCATTAGTACATACCATTACATACCCAAGATGTTCCAACCGCTTGGCTAGCTTGACCCATACCTAGATCGCAGCAAGTGTTCAGCTTCAACAAGCATCGTCTTTTTGTACACAGTAACAAATCTCAGCTTATTAAGCATATGTATGAATATCTACCATTATTTACCCATCTTGGGCTACAAATGATTTTGTCCAAACATATACTCAGGGAAAAAGTAACACACACATTTTTGATGTGAACAATGATGCTGAACCACTGGATTTTGGCGGGAACCCTATTTCAGACAAAGCGAAATCATAACTGTTTGTGATATGATTATATTCCATAGGCTATAATATAATATATATATATATCCATATTAAATCATATTAACATATATGATGGCTATTAATATATATATATATAATATATACATATTCCATCATATCCCATAGTACCCTTGGGTTATTTCATAGTCGGCGAGCTGGATTCAAAATCTCCGAACGTTCGGGGATTCTCCAGCTTGCCACGGTCGCAAGGGAGGGCATTTTCCATATTACTATCTACATCTAAATATGTATGTATATATATATATACCATCTGGCTATTTAACATAGCCATGGAAAATCCCTTATAAATGGAGGTTTTAATGGGAAAATCATCTATAAATGGGCCATTTTCCATGGCTATGTTAAATAACCAGAGGGTATATATAGTGGTTGGTTAAATCTCATTAACTCTCACTAAAAAAATGCTATATGTTGCTAATTTTTGCTAGACTTAGATCATCTTAAACCCATAGAAATACTATAGAAATCCCCTGAAATTCTCAGATTCAGCTCATTGATCTCACCTTCAACCGGTACCTTTATGTGTTTCCAGGAGTCCACTGCACGGCCAGTTCCAGAGCTTTTGCTACGACATCTCGCGAGGGTCCAACGAGAGGTCGAAGGGGTTTTGGGCTCGGCTGGGCCGTGTGGGATGGGATGAAACTCATTTCACCAACTGGGATGGGATATGGGTTGAATATGGTTGAATGGGATTTAATGGAAATATCCCAAATAATGTGGAATTATCCCATTTAAATGGAAATATCCCATATAAATTCCCTGGGATTAAATTCTTGGGATGGGATTTAATGGAAATATATGGAAATATCTATATGGGATGATAATGGATGATATGGATTAAATTTCCATATGGGATGATATTTTTTGTGGAATTCTTGGGATTTCATGGAAATTTCATCACCTATGGGACATATGGGACATTGAGAAGAACGGGTGCGGGTGCGGAGTCTGATTGTTTTTTG